TGGCTCGGTTTAACAGATCCTCTTCGAACTGCTGTCGAGCTCTGACAATGAGGCGTTTGACCCGGTTCCTCTGCATTTTGTAAAGGGGAAACCACGACTCAAGGACAGTCACAGGTCCAAAATGTCCTTTGATCTTTGTTCTTTTGCATTCAGGATAGCGTGAGCACACACACATGTGACAGGGCGAGGGTAATTAGGCATGCAAATAGCACCGCGTGGTCCACTGTGCGAGAGCTAGGGCTAAAGTAATCAGGCGCATCAATTAAAAACACCCTACACTGCGTGCAAGTGTTCATGTAGTTAGTTCCCAAAAACGGGGTGGCGCCGCAGTTGGGGTAGACAGGGCCGGAGGCATGCAGTTGTCACTTGTTGATGAATGTTAACGTGACGGGTAACGGAACTTATCTGTCATGCTGTGCCTTCGGCCTCGACAGTCCTAACAGCTGGTAGTACAGGCAGATAGTATTGCCGGTAAAGACAAGGGAGACTACGGAATGGCCATTTCTGGCTTATTAGCCGTCGTCAGCCAGCCATACCCAGACTCAAGTGGTGCCCCACCTGAGTCGCGACCCCTTTGATCAGAGTCGAACGCTTTAACTATTGAGCCACAAGCTTGTAGCCTCGACAGTTTAGGTCAGAGAATACTGACACACGTTGTGGAATGTCGCATAGCTAGTGGATTTGTTGCATAATGTGGGACAAAGCCGTGTGCGGTAGTTGAACCTTGTCAGTTGCTGCACCTAAATGTCCACAAAAGGCCACCTAGACACTGCATTGCCATCGGACTCCCGGCGTAGCAGCGCAATAGATGTTACGCAAGCCTGCCTCGATGTAAGTTTATCCACCTGCAAGCCAACAGAGCTTCTACCACTCCATGAGACAGCCAACGGAAGTTGTCGTTTATGACGGTCGACTGGTAGCCAACAACCCTCCGGAATGAAACTCTTTTTTTTCTCGCTTGACAAGGTCCTCCCGACAAAACCATACGTGCCAATTAAAATCCAACGGGAAGAACGAGGCCCACTCGAGATATCCTAAGCGCGGTCTTCGTGCAAGTCAGCCCGTCAGAGAAATGACTGGCCAGACCGGATAAAGGTAGGCAGACACAAATGTTTGCGCACGTGCTAGCAGCCGCGGGGGGCGAGTGTGGAGCTGTGTTACTATGGACACACCAGTACCAATGACTGGCGCGAATGCGGCCGCCACGCATTGTGCAATTTCGCGTGACGAGAACAGGGATTTCGGGAGACAGGGAAACTATTCCTTCCGAGAAACTCACTGTATTCTAAGAGCAGAGTCCGACGCATAAGCGTGTTTGTTAAGACGATTAGTTTTGCAGTGAACTTAGTTTAAAAAATCAAATCAAATGAAGACGGAAATGACTGTGTTCACAAAGAAGCTAGGAAATGCCACCTAGAGGTTGGTAGAAGACTCACCAGAAGAGAACAACGCTTTTCCGGGTTCAGGACCAGCATCTTCTTGAGAAGCATTTCGCAGTCGGTAGACATGTAGAAGGGGATCCGATACTTGCCCCGGAGAACGCGTTCACGGAGCTCCTGAGGACGGGAAAAAAAATAATGATAGCATAGATTCCAAGCTGTGGACACAAAATCCGGCTATGGGCGACGGTACACAATTGAATGGTGGGCCAATTCGGGAAGAGGGACGTGCAAGCAACTGACTGCCCGAAACATCTGCGGGTGGCGCGGATGGTGGAACGGCCGTGTACGAAATTTAATCACGGAACAGCAGTGAAAGGCTGACAATAACACAAGACCACTACAAAGTGGGATTAAATAACCAAGTTTATTGTGTCACCAGGTTTAAATAAGTGCTATCCGCAAGAGGCCTCCATAAGTGAGAAAAACAATAATGACAAAGCCTGAAGTTCAGTCTACTGAGGCGCAACTGACTGAAGTGTCAATAACCCGCTGGTTGCTATGAGCATGATCCACACTGGCACGTGACATGGCACACACCCTCCGAAGCAGCCTAGTAGTCTATAG